GGAAAAACTAGTTGAATCTACAATAGAAAGTGTCAGTAATAAAAAAGATCTCAAAAAAAAGCAACATTTCTTAACATCTCAAAAATGTTGTGTCTTTATCCTGGATCCCTGGAGTCAGTCCTAAGTAAAAAAACAGTCTTTAAAAAAAATAGGATACATACCAGGGTTTAAATCTCAAAAAAATCTTTAAAATCTATTTAGATCGAAAAAACAAGCATATACTAACCATTAATTTATGTCTCTGTGTTTATAAATTAGAGTGCTCTTGTGAGAAATGTTATATTTGTGAAACAAAGCTAAAGGTATTATTGCCATGTCAACATTAAACAAGTGCAAAACAAGATAAAGGAGAAAACTCAGCTTTAGCTGAAAATTTCTCAGAAAATTTTTACAGGAAAAGTTTCAATACTTTAAAAATAAAAATGAATAGTTTTAACAGGAAATTTAGGTAGGCGCTAGAAATACAACATACTGAAAGTACATTTTGTAACAATGGTCTCAAATGAATGATGGCAATTATGTGACAATGTCATTTTGGAAATTGATATTCCAATTCTTACATCACAAAAAACTCTAAAAAAGAAGAACATTGTTTTAATATAACATTTTATTCATAAACTTAAATAGTTTTGTATAACAAACCAGTTTTATTTTTATAACGGTTTTTAAATATAGTTTTTTTATTTAAAAAAAAATATAATTCACTTCAAACAAGGCAGCAAGTAAATAACTCATTAATATCATCCTTATGTTACCCACCCTTGGTTGTACCTTGTAGAAACTTTATTTCATTATCTTGAATTAGGATGCAAGATAAACTTTAAATAAACTATATATTAGATTCTTTATTAAAATATAGGGTCATGGAGGCAAACACTCATGTTGCTATTGTGATTGGCCAATTATATTAACACTTTTTAGAATGTTGTTAATTCAGTCAGGAAAGTTAGGAGATAATTATCAAATCCACCAATCTACCATTATCAAGACCACTAGCCTAGATAAGATTAAAAAGAAATGAATATGTTAGTACTATTACTTCTGGAAGGTTAATAATAGCCTTTATTTAGTTACTGAATGTTGTTTTGGAATAAAAACTTATATATCCTACAAAGATTAATAAGTTTGTGGAGTACATGTTTCACTTGAAACTATGTCTATGATGTATTTGAAAAAGTTTCACTCAGAAATTTTCCATATCCAGGTTTCATCTCAATGAGTATCTTTAGGCATAAGATTCCGATTGATGTTACATCAAATATCTGAAGCAGTGCATTAAAACCTAAACAAGATTCTGAAAAGGTTTATTGTGTATGAAAAAAATGCCTATTATGGTGAGGAAATAAGTAACATATAAAAAATAGTTACTGAATACAGTTCAATCTGATTGTAAGAAGATAGATTTTAAAGGATATATTTTGATATATAAAAAATTTTTTCTTTGTAACTAATTTTAATTATTAAAATAATGCATTTAATTGGTCTGAATTTTTTATTTGAGATATATGTTTTGTGTCTATAACATTTTACCACAATTTCAATAGATTTTTGTCCACAGTAAAATTGAAAGTATTATTACGTTAATGTTTTAAATTTCATCAAAATATATTTTGACACTAAAAAGATACAGCTATCTAAAGTTTTAAAACCATTTTTTAATACCACCTCATTTTTTAAACACTCTCATTTTTTAAAACCACCTCATTTTTTAATTGTTGTAGACAAAAGACTAACTTTAACTTAAAACCTTAAAAAAAGTGTTTCAAATTCCTGCATTGAACATGACATAATAAAAGCCTTTTTTTTTTTTTTTTTTTTTTTTTTTTTGCTGATAAAAAAAAATTTACAGTCGTAACTTATAAAGAAAATAATTACATGACCGGGGCTAGAAGACAAATTTAGTCTTATCATTAAGCCCCAAAGCCTTAAAAAAAGTGTTTGGAACTCCTGCATTGAAATGACATAATAAAAGAATAACTTGTTAATGTCATTACAAACTAACTTTAATTTATCTATTTATGCATCATTTAGTTGTTTAGTTTCATAATAAAAATAAGCTTTAAATAAAAAATGGTAAAATGATAAATAGATACAATTATAAAAAGGTAAGTAGGTCACATTTTTTTTTGTTTTCACACAAGTATTACTAACATACAACATAGTTATTATTACATTTATTAGGTATATAACATTTTGAATTTGTATTGTTAAAAGTATATTTATTTTATCAATTTTAAGATAACTTCAGAATATTTAAATAACTTTATTAATAATAATAATTTAAATAATAATATTATTAGTATTAAAAATAATATCAATAATAATAAAAATGTTACTTCAACATAATTTGATATTTCTTTTTGTTGGGTGAGAAGACCTAAAATTTAACATTTCAAAAGTTATTTAAAAAAATCAAAAAAAGATTTAAAAAAAAATCTTATAAAAAAAGTGACTAAGTGAAAATTAATGCAGACAAAAAAAAAAAAAAAAGGGCAAACTTTTATACCAAGATTGAGAAATTCCACATTAAAACCACCTAAAATGAAGAAAATTTGATTATTATAAAGCTGTAAAAAAAAGTATAAACTTATATAAATCGAATTTTAAATTTTGATTTACATAAGTTTATAAGAAGTTTACTTAAGAAACATTCCATTACCATGGCTACAATTCAGCATTTGTTGTCATGTTTTAGCCAAAAACATTTTGCAAAATATTTTGTAATAAGGTAGAATAACTTGTTGTCATCCATTTAACTTACACATATGTAATTATATGTAGAATAACTTGTTGTGATCCATTTAACTTACACATATGCAATTATTTGTAGAATAACTTGTTGTGACTTACACATAAAGAAAACCACAACTAGCTGTAAAACTTGAATTTTTGTTCGTTATATAACTTTTAAATTTATATTTTTAAAAACAAAATTAAGTTTTATGCAAAGACATACAGACAAGTTTTTTTTTACTTTAACTTATTTAATTTTTCAGTTATTTTTTCACTATCACTTTTACTTTACTATTTGAAAATAATGTTTGTCCTTAGCCAAATTGTTAGTACATTAAATTTTGGTGAAACCTAGAACAATTTACTTTTAAAAACTGTTTGGTCAGTGAAAAATAAGAATGCATGCTTGCACAGTTTGATAATAGCCCTGGTAATGAACCTCTCACAACATAATTATATGAGATTTTTGTAGAATATGATGATGGTTTAGAGATAAACTACAAGTAATTGCAAACTATAGATAGTGCAACACTTTTATATTTGACTGCAGATGATCTAATTTTAATTGAACTTTTAGTATCTGGCTTTGAAAAGCTAAAGGCTTTTACTTTATTTTCAATAATAGCACCTTGGTCAACTAAAACAAAATTTGAACCAATCAAGCATTGTCATTATTGGTGATTTTGCAGAATATTAAAGTTTACCTTTGACTTCAAAGCGCAGTTTTAAATAATACAGAGATATCACTGAAACATGTTATTTACATTTATGATACAGTGCAAAAATTTTATAAACTGCAAAACATTTCAAGTTTTTTTGTCATAACTTTTTGTATTTTGATTGAAAATAAATTTTTACAAATTGTTTCTATGTAACTACATAGTATCAAAAAAATTATAACTTCCAATGGAAGTAAGAGATTTAAAACTTATTGAAAACATTATCATGCAAAAGTGAAACGCATGCATAAATGAAAAAACTCAAAAATAATTATTTTATATTTATAATTAATTCATATTTTTCCATTGTAGCACATTAGTATTTTGTTGAATATTCTCTAGATTTTAATATTTATAAGAACATCTATTATTATATATTTTCCAAACAATCCAAAATCATCTTGAATAAATCATTTTTAATGGTTGACTTTCAGCCCTTTAATTGACAATTGTGGTATTCCCAAATAGTTCCATTGGATTTAAATCTGGGCTTTGTGAAGGTCAGTCCAAAACCAATTTTTATCTAAATTGAAAAAATTTATGATAGAGTTAGCACTCTGCTTTGGATCATTGTCTTGGTGAAAAATCGAGCCACTTGACATTTTGTCTTTTCCATATAACAACATAACATTCTTGATTATCTCTAAATATACATTCTCATCCATTACGCCTTTGATAAAGTGGACCAATAAAGTCATGACTCAAAGATTCCCAAACTATTACATTGCCACTACTATATTCTCAAACTATTACATTGCCACTACTATAACTGTTGGCATTTTATACTTAGGAGCAAATTACCTTTTGGATATCTCAGGTACTTACCATTGCTACCAAACATGAAAAACTTTGATTCATCGCTGAATAAGACTTTTTACCATTCTTTTGAAGTCTGATGCAAATAATCTTTTTTAAATTCCATTCGAGCTAAGCGATTCTTTAATGATATTAATGGTTTCTTGGCAGGACAACAATCAAACAAATTATGATGACACAGGTAACATTTTGTATTTATATTGCAATTAACAATATAATTTTTTCTCAAAAATACCATTTAATTTGACAGATCTCATTTTGATTGTCTTAATATTTTACAGTGATCATCACAGGTTATAATTTAAAAATCCAGAAAGCATTTTGCAAAAAAAAAAAAGAAAAAAAATTACAAAAAAATTTGTAATTTTAATGTAATTTTTATTCATATTTGCCTTTACTTAGCTTTAAGCTAGTGGTTTTCTCAATTTTTTTGAAACTTTACTTGTTTGTTGAATAGGTGAATGAATGACTGAAAAAGTTAACAAATTAGTTGCAAGAATATATATTTAAATTTACTGGGTGAGTGAATAAATGGGTGAATGAATGACTGAAAAAGAAACAAATTAATTGCAAGAATTTACTTCTGGTAAATTTTTTGAAAATCCAGAAAAAAGTTGAATGAAATTATTTTGGATTTTGGATAAATCAGAAAAAAGATAATCCCTTATTTTATCTTGATGTTCAATGGTTATTGTTGGTCTGCCTGAATGATGCTTGTTTTTAAGAGTGTTATGTTCTCTATCTCTTCACTAGTATGCTGATTGTTGATTTACCACAACATAAAGCTCAGAAATTATAAGGAATGTTCTTCTTAACAGCACATATTATTACTTTTTTTTTTGAATTATTTATGCCATGTAATATACATTAGAAAAACATCTGCTAAAAATTCAAGTTATAAAAAAAAAAAAAAAAAAAACTCAAAAAAATTATCCGTTTATAAACTTTTTGAATGCTAAAATGATAAAAGTTGACATGCTTTGCACTGCTTTATATATATGACGACACTACATACAATGACGACATTACATACAATGATGATAATACATACAATGATGACATTACATACAATGATGACACTACATACAATGACAACACTACATATAACGACAAAACTACATACAATGACGACACTACATAAGATAATGACTACATACAATGTGACATTTGTGTATGAAATATTTTAACTAATCATACACACATTAAAATCGAAAAACATTTATTTACTGATGGTTGTGCAGGACAATATAAAACCTCTAGATGGTTTTACAATCTTTGCCAACTAAAGCAAATTTGGTAGGAACTGTTGTGCTATATCCTATGTTAAGTCACAATGCAATGGGGTCACTGGTACAGTAAAAAGGTTGACAGCGCAAGAGTATTTGAAATCACTGTACTGAAACTAAATAATTACATCAGAAGCAATGTATCAGTTTTTTATTGAGAAAATCTAAAGTGTTAACTTCATTTACATAAAAGGATTGGACTTGATGATGATTTGCAGACTGGGATTGCAACTGAAAACAAACCGGAGAAATGTGATGCTTAGATTAATTTCCTCAAAACAAGGTCTATCTGCGTATTTTATTCATATGCAATAAGTGGACTGCTGTTTTTTTTCTCCAAAACAAACATATTAAAAAAGTTATCTGTTCCCAATGCTTGCTTTAGTTCTGGTAGAAACTTTATCAGGGTTCCTACAGGGTCATTGGTAAAAAACGGGACATTAAAAAAAAAAAAAAACAGAACTGTTGAGGCCAAAAAAACAGGATTTTTCTTAGGAAAACAGGCACACAATTTAAAATATATCATTTAAATAAATGATAAATAAACTTTTAGAAACAGTAAAAACTGTGTATACATATATATATATATATATATATATATATATATATATATATATATATATATATATATATATATATATATATATATATATATATATATATATATATATATATATATATATATATATATATATATATATATATATATATATATATATAAGGTATAAACTAGCCCTGCTTTGTGTATGACTGACAATATCAAATTTCATAAAACAAAAAATAAGTAAAATTTAATAGAGCATAAACGCATCGCATGATGTCTATATGCTCAATTTAACCTGGAGTTAACTTTATACTTATATTATTTTGTGTTAACTTAATACTTATGTTATAACTTATAGTTAATTGTAATTTAAAAATCTTTTTTTTACATTTAATAGTTATCTTATGTTTTATTCGTTTTATAATTTATACTCTTGTACTTTATTCGTTTTTATACGTTGAAATACGTTGAAATATGTTGGATGGTTGAAGATTAACATCATCAATACAAACTTTAAAAGCAAAATCTTTAGAAGTTTTTGCATTGGCTGTTTTGTTTCTAATGCAGTTGTGAAGCCTTTGAAATCATGAGCAATAAAGAAGACAGAGTATGCAATGACAGACAACATTTTTTAATTAGTGCTTTCTTAATACGAATTTACCTTTCAGTTGTTGCAATACCTGCTTTACCATTGAACCTTTTTTGATTTGGTAGAACTTTTAAAAAATATTCTGGCAAATTGTCGTCAAGCTTTCTCCCTTACCCTCACTAATAGGTCTTGAATGCTTACCCAACTAGTAGAGACATGTCTCAACATCCATTGACCTTGAAGCTCAGTGAATGATTCCACAGCAAAATATTCTTCAATTATTTTTGCAAAAAATTTAAAAAAACTGTGCAAATCAATTGAACTGAATGGAGTGGACATGACCCAACATTGATAATGAATTTTTCCTATTTTTCAAAATCATTTTCTAATTTTTTTAAGAATAATTTATTGACATTAGGACCGTCCATACTAATGGAGAGAATAGACACTGGTTGCCGCTGAATTTGTCCTAACAACTTTTTAAAATGATCATAAAGGTCTTGTTCAGAACATCTTCCTAAAAACAATACCCGCAAGTATGATGTTATTATTTGTGGAAAGTGATTAGAATGGTACATAGCATAAGCGTCATATTGTATTTTTGTTTGTAGTTGTTTCATAAAATCAAAATGTAAGTGGCAAACATTTCAAACATTCCAAATAATTTTTTTAATTTTAGGGGCAATGCTAAACTGAATCATATATTTAACTTTATTAGATTTTTGATATGCTTTAGCAATTTCAGAATCCGGAAAATGTAGATTAATCTACGTTACACCAGCTGAAATGCTTATGTCCACAGAACAAAATCTATATATATATATACATATATATATATATATATATATATATATATATATATATATATATATATATATATATATATATATATATATATATATATGTATATATATATATATATATATATATATATATATATATATATATATATATATATATATATATATATATATATATATATATATATATATATATATATATATATATATATATATATATATATATATATATATATATATATATATATATATATATATATAAATTGCTCTTCACAATAACTTGATTCATGAATCCAATCACACAAATGAAAACTTCATTTAAAAATAAACTTTCATAATTATTACTATAATTTAACTATTTATGTTTAAGAAAACAAAATAAATAAAAGTTATTCAAAAATTCAATTTATAATATTTATATGATTAAATATTCTATTTCAAAAAAAAATTGATGTTTAAACCTTGTTAAATAATTGCTGATGTTATACTTAAAACATAATTAGTAAATTTTGTTTAAAAATTTTTTTATCTTGATTGCCTTCTAAATCCATAAAGTTTATCATTTTATATATTAACATCGTCCGACTTAAAAAAAAAAATAGGCTATTGCCTTAAAAACAGGAAAAAACAGGAAAACAGGCCAAAATGGAAAAAATAGGAAAAAAGCAGGAAAACAGGCTCTGAAGGAACCCTACTTTATGCTTTAAAAGGCTGAAATGGAAGTAAGTTACAAGGAAAATGGCAGCACAAAACTAAACTAATAGAACTTTAGTATTAAAAATTTTTATCTTCAATACAATAAAAAATTGTACATCAACAAAGATCCTGTATATTTTTCAGTAAGTTTTTGTATTGAAACTAATTTATTGTTATTGAATTAAAAAAATTTTATTTAGTAATTCTCCAAAAAAAGTGGTATCTTTTAAAATTATAGTTTCTATATTTTTTTGCTTTTTCCAATTAAATGTTTTGTGACATAATAATAAAGAAATTTTTTTACATGAAGGTGTTTTAAGATATTTTATCACAAAACTGAGAAAAACTGTTTATTTTTATAATTACTTAATCCTATTATATTTTTGTATGCAGCCCTCTTAGTCAGCATATTATACTAAAGCATTTTTATGGTCCGGTCATATTTCAGCATTCTAAGTACATTTCTTGAACTCTGCATGCAAAAAAAGATCAAACAATTTTATATTCTTGCCATTGTCATTTTACACTAGGTCAAAATTAAAATTGCATCATCACAGGAACTACTCAATACTTTTGACACACAGTTTAATGGACTAGGTGATTTAATGTGAAGTTATTCAAATCAAAAACTAAAAACAAAATTCAAAGAAAGTAGTAAATGAGTAGTACCTAATTCATTTATTAAACTTTGTTTCAAACTTGTTTGAAGTAAATTGGAAATTGATTTGAGAAATGATTGAGTAATGATGTCAAATTGGTCTGCTCCAATGCTTTTGAGATTATCTGGAGTGAGAAGTTTTGCCATTCTTGTAACAATGTTTGAAGCTTGTTGCTAAGAATAATTAGAAATCTTTTAATTGCGTTTTACATAATTAAAAATTTAACAAAATAATTTAAACATTTTTTTTACCAATTTTTTTAATTTTTTTTTTCTTATAGTTAAATAAAATTCTAGTAGTATAAAATAGTAAACTTTATAAAATTAAAGTCTAGTCATGCAATTTGTACTCAAGTTTTTATTGTACTAACCATAGATGGTTTTTTTCCAGAAATTTATGGAAATCCTAAATATCACTTAAAATTCTCTTAACTTCTGAAAATTTCAGAGTGTTTCAATTGATTTATGAAAAAAAATTTAATTTTTTTAAAAAATTATTAATTTTTTAACAAATCAATAGCAAAAAACACTCAAATTTTAGGGCTTTAAATTAAACCTAAGTGAATTTCTAGAATTCCGGAAATTCCCAGAAAAAACTCATCTATGACTACTGATACCATTTTGAACCAATACTACTATTGTGTACTAATACTACCATTTTGTACCAATACTAAATTTTTGTACCAATAATTTGGACCAATACTTATCAATCTTAATTAAGTAAAACTTTCAAACACAAAAGTAGAAAAAATAAGAAAAGACATATAATGAATAAAAATTAATTCGAAAAAAATGTAAAAATAAAATTTGATCTTGCATATTTATTCAAAAAAATTTTGGCTCTAAATAAAGACCATACTTTTTTAGTAAACAAATATGTAGTAACTGTTGGAAAGCAAAATGATGAGCTACTAAGCATAGTTAAATGTCAATTGGTATTTTAAACAGATTTTTTGTTACAGAATATTTGCAAGATAAAGATTTAACAAATTTTTTTTTATTTTTTTATTTTCAACCTTTTTTTCATCTATTACTAAAAAAACATTTCCTTAAGTATTCAAAAGAATATGTTGAACAACTGGGTAGAAAAATATTTCTGGATTTCTTGAGTCAATATGTACTGGGCTTTTTTTTTTATTATTTTTTTTTTGTTCTTTAATTCAATATTTAATCCAATATTTACACACATATCAATATAAAAAAATTACATGCAAACTTATGATCAAGCATTAGCACATTTAAATATTATAAACAAGTTTAAAATTGAAAATTTTGTATTTTAGTACATGAACTCTTTTGTATACATACAAAAGAATTCATGTACTAACCAATAGTTATATACAAGAGGTTCAAATAATTATATCTCCCATATAAATATTTGAACCTTTTAATATAAACTTTTATCTATATTTAAAGCTTAATAACTACTTTATGTGAAAAGATATAAAATATTATTTAGATAATTAGATACTTAGATAATTAGATACTTAGATGGGTATTTGATTCTTAAAAGTTTATGTACAAAAACTATAGGTTGTGCAACAACATTAAAAAAAAAAAATTTGTTCTTTTTTTGTTGGAAACAGATTTTTTGTTACAGAATATTTGCAAGATAAAGATTTAACAAATTTTTTTTTATTATTTTTTTTTTTTCAACCTTTTTTTTATCTATTACTAAAAAAACATTTCCTAAAACCTAAAAAAAGCAAATAAATAATTAAGTTAATATTATTTTAATTTATGAAAAAAATGATACCTGAGTTCGGGGAATTAATTCCATGGGATTTTGTGAAGATATAGCCAATGCATCCCCAATGGATTTAAAAGAACTCAAATCATTGATAGTTGTATTACCGAGTAAATCAATTACAATTGTGCGTAACTGTATATTTAAAAAACAAACAAAAAAAACAAAAACAAAGCTGACTCAAATACTGTTAAATAAAAATTAAAAAAGATAGGTACAACCACAGTAAGATTTTGAAAAAAGTCCATATTTAATTGTGTTATTTATCTTTTTAAATTTATTAGTTTAAACTTAAAGCAATTATTGCGGTTTTATTGCTAAAATCAAAAGCTTAATCTTGACCTTGATAAAGCAATAAAAATAATCAATAACAACCAATTGAGAAAATATAGTTTAAAAAAAAGTATAGTTGAAAAAAAACTTAAACAACTAATATTCTTAATAGTTACATATATATGTAAGTATATGTACAACATATAATTGTATTATGTAATAATTAACACTTAATTTAATGCTGCTGCCATTACCCATTCGTGCACATTTACATGGAGTTTTAGTATAATAGGCATTTAGCAAGCTCTTTCTTTTTATACTTTTGACCACACAATAAGGTACTCTTAAATCTGAATTATCTAGTAATATCTGCGTAATCAGTAACAAGATCAAAAACTTTGCTTCATCAGCTTAATTAATAATAAGATTGACAATTTTTATTTGATAACTCCTGTAGTAAAGGATGAACCTTATGTTATTTTTAAATTTGTAAAGTAACTTTTAAAGTCAGGTAATTTATTGAATTCATGCATTATAATAATAACACAACTCAAGTCTTTTGTCAATTGTATTTAAAGTATGTTATTCTGTAATTTTTAAATTTGAAGACGATGATGATTCTAGAAGACATTGCTCTTTTTAAAGGTCAAGAGGTCAAACTCTTGATAAAGTTAGTGCTTATCTCCAAAACCCTTGTGTCTCACACAGGCAACTCTATGTTACATGTTAAAGAACAAGATTGTTTAATATATGTAATTAAACAAATTTTACAAAAATAATGTTGTATTTGTCAAGTTTCTAATTTATATATTTTTCCTAATTTATATATTTATTTATATTTGTGTGTTATTTATTATGTGTTTATATGTGTTAAGGTTTTATTTGTTATGAGTTTTTATTTTGTGTGTAAATATCTTTTATATGTGAAATGTTTCTATGTTTGTGATGCGTTATAATGTTATGTGTTGAGCTTTTAAGTGGTTATTATGTTGTTTGCATGGTTTCAAGTTATCGTGATTTGGTTTAGTTTACAGTAAGAGTATTGATCTTGCTAGCCAAGTGGTGTACTTTGCTATAATGTGACTTGGCTTTGTTGAGACCAAGAATGTTTTTTATGCTAGTAAAGGGGTGTACTGTCATGATGAAACACATAAATTAAATCTTTATGTAGTAGTGTATTCATAAAATGTATTTAAAAAATATTGTTGAAAGAATGTGTTTAAAGGAAATGCTGAAAAGATATATAGTTTTAAAAGATATATAGTTTTAAAAGATATATAGTTTTAAATGATATATAGCTATAGATATATAGTTCATTAGTATCTATAATTTTTTTAATATTTATAATTTTAAGAAAATTTTATTTGAAAGATATATACTTCATTAAATATTTAGACACAGTTACTTTTTAAGTAAACTTTGTTTCAAAGATATATACTCATTTCTTTTTTGTTAACAATTTATGCTTTTTTTGATAAATGAATTTTGTTAAAAAACAGGCTTCCTTTTAATAATAGCTCCTCCCCATTTAAACATTTAAAAGTTTCTATTTTCCTTCATTAAAGATTTTTAACTTGAATTTATTGTTTTTTTATAAAGATAAGTATACAAAGTGTTATAACATAAGGTAACTCTCATTAAACTTTCAGGATTTTTTGTATAGAGAATATTTTCTCGATAGTAATATTTAAATGTTTTACATATATACATACATACACACATTTTAATTTTTCTGCATTGTATTATTTACCTTTTTTTTTAGAGTATTAAATATAAATTAAGAAATTAAAATAGTTTAATAAGTTTCAATATTTCCTAGTTTCTCCACTTGAAGCAAATGATTTTTTATAGAGTTTTTCTATTATTAGTTTTGTATTTACTTATATATTTATTCTTATATTAAATGCGTTTCAAAAATATGAAAGAGATATTTAAAGTATTTGCTGAGCAGACGGGCCTTATAAATTTTAAAATTTTCTTTGTTTATGAGTTCTTATCATAAAAATTTTGTAATTTTTAAAAACTTCTTTTCATTGTTTTTATAATTAAGTACTAATAATATTTTGTCAATAATTATTAATAACTACGTTATATATAACATGACTCAGTAATAAAGATTATATCCAATTATTTATAACTTGAGTATAAGTTCTTGATAGAAATATGTTATCTTTATACATTTCTATATTATTTTAAAACATCTAATTTAAATATGACTAAGAGTAGAAGTAGAATAAAGTAGATAATTATATTATGCTCTGTTTTATTTGCTTACACTTTATTTTAGATAAAGTAGATAATTATATTATAAAGTAGATAATTATATTATGCTCTGTTTTATTTGCTTACACTTTATTTTAGATAAAGTAGATAATTATATTATAAAGTAGATAATTATATTATGCTCTGTTTTATTTGCTTACACTTTATTTTAGATAAAGTAGATAATTATATTATAAAGTAGATAATTATATTATGCTCTGTTTTATTTGCTTACACTTTATTTTAGATAAAGTAGATAATTATATTATAAAGTAGATAATTATATTATGCTCTGTTTTATTTGCTTACACTTTATTTTAGATAAAGTAGATAATTATATTATAAAGTAGATAATTATATTATGCTCTGTTTTATTTGCTTACACTTTATTTTAGATAAAGCAGATAATTATATTATAAAGTAGATAATTATATTATGCTCTGTTTTATTTGCTTACACTTTATTTTAGATAAGTTAAGAAAGAAAACTAAAAGTTCGATTTTAAAATAAAAGTTCAACTTTTATTATATACAGTATCATTTTTACACACTTCTTTAATAGTTTGTTATGTCTGATAATTTAATAAGTGAAATCATTAGACTTTGTCAAAATGAAAGAAATCAGGCTAGGTGAGATGAGTTGAACTGTCGCCAAAATGAAAGAAATGAGCTTAGGCTAGCTGAGCTAAATTGTTGTTGAAATAAAAGAGATAAGCCTAGGTAAGCTGAGATAAATTGCTTTAGAAATGAAAGATATCAGGCTAGGCGAAAACTCAGTAAGTATAAATGCATCGCATAGCAAGAAATAATATTGCTATAAAAAGTAACTACTTCAGATTTCAAACCATTTTTTTCAGTATTGTGGTGCGAAGAAGTTTTTGAACAAAACTGATTTTTTGGCTGCCATTCAGAAAAAGTTGTATTAGCTCCTTTTTCTCCATATCCACCATTTTTGATTAATTTAATGACAGGAAACCATATTAATCATCCTGTCAATCAAAATTTTCTAAACACCTAAAAAGTTATAGTTTTACTCTACCTTTGCTTACTTCACAGCCAAAATAGCCCCTCCCTCAAATAATGGCTGTTACTGTTTTAGGGTCTATGGGCAAACTTTGCATCGTGTCGGAAATTTAAGCCTGAAGAGCTTTTTCTACACACATATTGTCAATTAAATATATATGATCCTAATTCAGTAGTGTCATTTAGAATAGAGCAAACTGGTAATGATGGTTGTATAAATGAATTAATGCTAATCTTTATTTTTTATTTATTTATAGCCTTGTTTTTTTAAAAAGAGTTATTAATCCAAACTTGCAATATAAATCTTAAAATTTTCACTAAAGAAATACAGCCTCACAAAGTAAGTTTCTAATCTGTCTAGTCATATTTTTAAGTTTTAAAATAAATAAATTGTACATAACATATTAATGTGTACTATGTGCATTCAATAAATAAATTTGTTCCATTTTTTTCCTTCTCTTATGACTGATTTTCGAAAGCTCTTACATAGCAGGATTTAAGAAATGTTCTGAATGTTGATTGTATTCAAAGAGCTAAAACTAAGTTTGATAATCTTCATACCATTTAATAATGAAACAATGTTTCAATTTAAATTGTTTTTATAAGTATTTTTAATACTTTTTATGTTGAATATATTTTTTTAAATGTTAATATTTTTATTTTATCTCAAGAAAAATGTGTTTTTTGTTTCTCAAGCATTTTCTATATTTATTTTCTTTGGAATTAATGTTTTGAATGGATATTTTGGCCATTTTTGCTTTGTTTTTTATATTTTCAATTCTCTTTTTATTTGTAAATAGAAACTATTTATGCTATTATCACTTTTTGTACTAGAAATTTCCATTTGTATTAAGTATCCATTTTTGGCACAAACAATAAGTTTGATAATTTATTTGCCTAACTTGACAGTAAAAACAGTAAATTGAATGAATTTGTTAAGAGTTTTTTTTAAAAAAAAAGCTTTTACAAAAAATAACAAACAGATAAAGCTAACTTATTTAAAATAACTAGGTTTGCTTTTTAGATAAATATAAATAAAGGGAAAAAATATTATTATAGTTTAAGTTTCCAGTGGTACTACCAGGGATGTGGTGGAAATGGAACTTGGAACCTCTCACTTATAAAGCGAGCTTTATCACTACACCAATAACACATTTACTACTTTAAATAATAATAATAAAAAACCTATAATTAAAAAGTACAGCGTTTATAACTTTTTTTTAACTTATACTTAACACCTATAAAAATAAAACATACATTTTGCAAATTAGATAATTCTTGCTGCTTTTTTAAAAGTACGACATCATTATCAACCATACCAGAAAATTCATTTGAAGGAAATGGCATGTTGTTATAAAAACTTGCTGAATTTATATTTACAGTAGTGCTTATGGCTTGAACAATATTAGCAACACTTTGTGTATCATTCATATTGATACCATTAACCAAGTCTGTCACATTTACAAGTTTATTATTAGGACGTACCTATAAATAAGGAGAAAAAAATAACTTTTTGTCTAAATAAGTTATTTTATACAAAATATTAGGAATGACTGTGTCAGCTTTGAGCAGGAGCAGCATTTAAATTTCTTTTTCAATTGGATGTCTGGACATTCAAAGAACATCCTAGGATGTTTTTTGTCTACTGGGACTTTACATTACAGAATAAAAAATATTAAAAACATTTATTTTCAAAGACTAATCTAGGGTCTAACAATTAGTATATTGTTTCACAAGTATTTTATAGATAAGGATTGTTAAAAGCTTACTGTAATAAATTATGGTTTGACTTTATTACAGTAAACAAGCTTGGAAAATTATTATTAGAAAATAAAAAAACAGATATAGAGTGGTTAAAAGAGTTTCATGAAATGTCACAGAAAACTTTTGATTAAAAGAGTTTCATGAAATGTCACAGAAAACTTTTGATTAAAAGAGTTTCATGAAATGTCACAGAAAACTTTTGATTAAAAGAGTTTCATGAAATGTCACAGAAAACTTTTGATTAAAAGAGTTTCATGAAATGTCACAGAAAACTTTTGATTAAAAGAGTTTCATGAAATGTCACAGAAAACTTTTGATTAAAAGAGTTCCATGAAATGTCACAGAAAACTTTTGATTAAAAGAGTTTCATGAAATGTCACAAAACTTTTTTTTTGAAAATACAACCTCCTCTTGCTAATCAATTTTTTTATTATGAAAAGATTTTAAACGAATATAATTTCACTAATGATAGAGTTTATAATATTGATGAAACTAACATAATGATAAAATCACCAAATTTTAAAGCACCATATAGAAAAAAACATAGAACAAAGCATATCTGCTGAACCAGGACAGCTATGTGAGATTAAGTAGAATTTCTGGTGTAGGAAATCCCATAAGAAATTGTATTTCTCCTGTCTTTCTTTTTAACATCTATTTAACAAAAAATTCTTGTGTGTGAAAGTATAATTGTATTAGTTAATTTATTTTTATTTTTTTGTATTTTTTGTATTTTGCAATCTATGGATGCTTTAATAGTTTTGCGTAAGTTTTGAAACACCACAATATGTTGTGAAAATTTGAACATTTCAAAATTGCGCCAAAAAAACTTAAAAAGAACAGAAATTTAAGGAAAGAGAAAAAAAAAAGAGACTTCACTAAGAATAAAACACAAAAAATAACAATATAACTCAACTGAGAAAAAACTCAAAAAAACTAAAACACTAAGATTTTTTGAGCATAACTAATGATTCATTTTCAGCTTAACATCCATACCAACACTGCAATTTCGTTTCTTAATCATTCATTTGACTTTTTAGAAAGAAAAAAAAAATACATATATTGATAATTAGAAAGAAGTTTAATAAATTGTCCAAGCTGCCCCTTTCTTTCCTACTGTTGTTATTGCAAAGGATTTTACAATACTAAATGTATTATTACTGCTGTATAAAAAGCAACATAAGATTAAACCATTTAAATTAAAGAAATGTTTTAATCTTATGTTTTTTCTTTAACTATTTAAAAAAAAAAAAAAAAATTGAAACTGCTTACATTGATAAAAAGTTGGTTGTATTCTGTATATGCTTGGTATTTACCAGTCACTTTTATAAGAATTTTGATTTTATAATCATTGTTTGGGTCGCCAGGACCCATCATAAAGTTAATTAAACTTTGTTGATCAGTAGATGCTGCATTTAATTTAGGATAATCAAGATTAGACGTACTACTAACATTTATATGCTGAATCTTACCATCATCATAATAAAAAGTGTAGCTTAGCAACTGATCTGAATCAGTCCAATCACTACAAACAATTTTAAACTTTGTTTCAAGAATATATCCTTCAGTTGGACTATATAAAAGAAAGTGAATTACTGTAAAACTGTATATTCAATAATCAATGTATAACAATGTATAACAGTAAACAACGTAAAACAATGTATAATGTATAATGTAAAACTCTTAATATATAGTAATATAACTATAATTATATTTTAATATAATTAATGAAAATATTTTATAATAAATTAATTTAATTTATATTATATAATATAATTTTTTATAGAAAATAACTATATTGTATAATGCAGTTTTGTTGCAAATTGTATATTATGATACAGATATAAAAATAATTTTATGTAAACAATATAAAACTGAACATATTATGCAATGTACTTGTGTATTTTATAATATATTATTTACTATATAGCTAGTACATAAATATTTCATATAATTATTAAATACATATAATACCGAAGTATGCTTCTAAACCAAGTAGTTAAAAAAAAACCATAAAAAGCAAACAAAACAGTAACAGTTCTTATAATTTCAGTAACAGTTCAGTTCAGTAACAGCTCTTATAATTTAAAAAGCATTATTTTTACCAAATTATAACAATAATATCCTTTACTACAAGAATATGCAAAACTTAAAACAGAGTATTGTTACTACATGGAAAGACTTATGTACTCTTTGTTTTTTTTTAAACAAATTTCCTTGCAGCTTTGGGAGTAGATTAAGAAGTAAGGATGTCTGTGTACTATCTTCAAAGTAAAAAAACTTGTAGTTGTACAAAAGATTTTGTTAAGCAAATTTTTTGAAAATAATTGAAAATTCCCTGGACATAAAAGCAGGAGAAAAAACAGCAGAAGATCTAATTATTGCAAAGTTTAAAGAATGAGTAAGTATATCCCTTAAGACATGACAGCAATCTTTATTTGCATCATACAGATTTATGAAGCCGACTGCAAAATGAATTCACAAAGATTTGATAACCCCCAAGATTGATACAAGCAATTTGGATTAAGCACAGACAAAAACTGATAACTCCTGGATTTAAAAAACTCATGATATATAGTAATGTTTATTTAATGGACTACAAGCTTAGAGAAGCTATTCTTGAAGATATGAAGAGATTTTGTAATGTTTTAGGTGTTTTGATGGAGTAGTTTAAACATGCTTGAGCAAGATACTCTACATGGATTTTGAAAAAGCAATAAATATCTATGGGGTAAACAGATTCTATCTGTTGATCAGGTTTGCACCACTCCTTCATCTATTAAACTGTTGCAGTTGCATTTATAATATATTGTTTCCAGTTTAAGATGTTGAATACTGGATCTTCTTAGCTGGTTGCATGGGTTTTTCTTGTGTCTTGGTTCTTATGACTAAGCAACTTATTCTATAATCTCTTAATGAGGCTACAGCTCTAAAACTCAGTTTTATGGTTCTGAGGCTAGAGGTAGTCAGGTTTTCTGAACTCTGTGGTAGGTCTTATTTGTAGAGAGACAGAACCCATCAACAGCTTTAAAATACCAGAGTACTAACAGTGCCATGTTGCGCACAGATAGTGTCCCTGTTCGTACTTTTAGTGTGCATTGTTGAGGCCACATTTGGAGCTCTTTGTTATGGTTTAGGGTTTATTAATAGTAATGAGATAATTGCTTGGACTATTAGATAGTGTAATAAATACTATCTGTACTTTAAGTCAAGTTCTTTAACCAAGTTTAAAAATGACTAAAAAATCAAAATCTATAAAACACAAAAAACCAAAATCATTACCAAGTTCTCTATCATTCACTAATATATCTCTTGCACCAGATCAAAGAGCAAGTTAGTTCACCAGACTTACTTGCTATTTGTGAGATTAACTTGAGTTCTGCTGTCTCTCATCTTGTGATCTTAGTGTCAATGGTTATCTTCCTTTAACTCATAAAGACACCAATAGTCACATACTTGGCCTGAGTATTTACATTTGCAAAAACTCACCCATTTGTCAGGATACTAGATTTGAATCCACAGACTATTTTTAGTGCTTTTGCTTAGCACTACTTTAATCTATCACTTTTCTGTTTGTTCTATATTGCTCTCCTTCATCTCAAGACTGCACTCTTTTCAATGTTATTTCTGATCAAATTGACCAAGCCCTTTCTCTTAATCATTCAGCCAATATCATTGTTACTGATATCTTTAATGCTCTGAATCACACTGAATGGCTTGGTTCTAGTGTCAGTGACTCTGCAGGTGCTAAGACTCTCAAATTTTGCTTTCTTAATCTCTAACACAAATAGTCAACTTTCCAAATTACTTTTCAGACAATCCAAAATATTTAACTTCTCTACTCAACTTATGTCTTGTTTCTGATCCTAGTCAGTGATCAGTTTCTCCACATTTACCATTAGGTGTATCTGGTCACAGTTTGATCTCTTTAAAACTATTATCTCATTATACTTCATCATCAGAATCCTTCTGTCATTATACCTCTTACAACCTTAAAGCTGACTGGGACTCTTGCCATGATTTTCTTTGTGATGGTACTTGGTTAAAAATCTTTGGTTTTCCTGCTGAAAAATGTGCTTCTTATGTAACTTCTTGGATTCAGGCCGGAATGGAATCCTTTATTCACTCTTAACAATTCCAAGTCAAGTCTCACTCTTTTCCATGGTTTCCCTCTAATTTTGTTGCTGCATTTTCCAATCATAACCAATTCTTCCCTATCTATCAGTAAAACAGTTCTCCAGAAAACAGATGTCTGCTTACTATTGCTAAAAACCATTGTAAACAGGTTTTGTCTAACACTTGAGCCCACTATTCTGAGGTCACAAAATTCTTCAGAGACTTCTGGAGAACCTTTAATAGTGTTTATAATAAGTGTAACTTTGTTAATCTTTGGCCCTATACTTTTTTTAACTTACATTAATGATCTACCTGTAATTATAACATGAAATCTAAGATGGCATTGTTTGCTGATGATACTATCATTTATTTTTGTCTTAATATCAAGCCAACACTCTCTGATTGCTTCGAGGGGACATTTGAGCTTAAAAAGAATCTCAATTCTGCTACAGAATAGGGCTCTCAGTGGCTGGTGAGCTTTAACCACTTCCTTACTCTAAATTCTATTCTTTATCTGTATAAATCTGATCTTGTATGGAATACTGTTGCAATATCTATAGCAGATCTTCAAATGATGCCCTTTCTCTTTTAGACAAGACACAAAAACACATTGTAAACATAGTTGGACCTGCTTTTGCAGCAAACCTTCAACCATTGTCACATTGTTGTAATGTTGCTTCTCTTTCTCTTTTCTATAAATACAATAATGAGCACTTTTCTAAAGAGCTAGCATCTCTTGTGTCATCTACTAAATTTCATTTTCATGTTACTCATTATTCAAATAACTCTTATCCTTTTACTGTGACTGTTATATATTAAGTGCTCCAAAAATTTAGTTTTTCCCCTCAAACATCAGTTCTTTGGAACTTGCTCCCTTCATCTTGTTTTCCTGATTCATTTAATTATGCAATCTTTAAAGTTGTCTGTTAATCATTATCTTGCTTTATAAACATATTTTCTCTTTGAATAACTTCCAATAGTGGTTACTTGATGCCTTGTTATTGAAGATGTTTGAAAAAATAAAAAATAATAATGTTGATTTTTTTTATTGTTCTAGATATCAAAACAAAGAAATATTAGAATGATATAAAAACATTTATCAGAGAGTTTTGAGAGTTTATGTTTTGAACAAATTCAACCAACACAGTGCAAACATGCCTATTTGAACTTTTTTTTCTTAACTTTTTAACTTTTTCACTTTTTTTTATTTGCCAACTACTTTTTCATTAACAACTTATAAAATTAAATAACTTATAAAATTAATAAATTTATTGTAAAAAATTTTTTTGTTTTTTTGTAAATAAAAAAGAGAAATAATAAAAAATATATAATTAGCTAAATTTAAACATATTTTTTAAATAATTATAACAATTATTATTTTGGACACACTTAACAAAATGTATTACTTTTTTGTAGTCACTATAAATGCCAAAAGAAATTTTATTTAAAAACTTTGGCATATAAAATTTGCCAAATGGTCACACACAAGCAGTGAAAGCCTGAGGAAAGAAATGAAGTACACTAGAATAAAGGAGAACTATTTTTTAAATGAAGCATGTCAAGACAAAAATAAAGATTTATAGAGGAATATTTAAAAATAAATAAGACAGACAATGCACCTAAAAGAGTATTAAATAATTGTAATAAAAAATAAATTGTTATATAAACACTAATATGAATAAAGATATACAACAAATATATCACAAAACAAAAAATTATAAAAAAAATGAAAAATAAAAAATATAAATTATGTTTACAACAAAGGAAGGCCTAGGAATGGAAAATAAGACATTAATGCTAATGTGCCTATTCCATACTGCAGTAAAAAAGGACTCACTACAAACAGCCAAAACCTAACCAACCCCAAATTTGTAAAACACCAATATTTTTTTGATGATATGAGTTTAAAAGTGAAGATCTATTGAACAAACAAAAATAAAAAAAACTAAATAAAAACCTTACCATACCACCAAAAGAAAACATGAAAACACAATAAATTAAAATTCTAATAGAAACATAAAAATACTAATAAATTTATTTTAAGATATAAAACCAAATAGGTATTATAAGCATAAACAACCCCAAGATAATCAGAAAGCAGTATACCTCATTAAAAAAAATAAAAAATTTAATCAACAAAACAACAATAGTTTTAAATAAGCTCTAAGGCTGTCATAGATACCTCATTTATAATATGATAACCAATCAAAAGTGTAGGAAAATGAGCAACCCGCAAAACCCAAAATCATAAAAATAATCGAATAATATATCATTGCAAAAAAGAATGTTGCACAAAAACCTTCAAAATCTAAGCGGCATAAATGTAAACATTTTATGAAGGATATGAAAATTAAAACAAAGCCGAGTAATGAATGCAAGATAATATAACATAAAAGTTCCTAGTTAACAGTAATAATATGAAAATCAGCAGAAGTAATCTATTAATAAATATTGCAATAAGGCTAACTAAATACTGTAATAAAACCAGATAAATTTAAGCCAAATGAGTGGTTAAAAAATCAGTTGTGGGTAAAGTAACAATAATATGTCGTGATATAAAAACGATGTACAAAGCAGGAAAAAATATTATTAAGAAGTGATGTTTTCTCTACGGTTTGAATTAAAAGAAACTTTGAGACCATATCTAAATCGAAATTTCCAAAAAGTAAAGTTTTCTCTACGGTTCGAATTAAAAGTAACTTTGAGACCATAACAAAATAACAAGGTAAAACATACATCATCAAAACATGTCAAGAGCCTCTAGTTTATAGGAATCACTCTAAACACCTATGCATGGATTTATAACTGACTTATGACTAAAAAGCTAGCCCATGCATCTTTCAGAAACAAACATCTTCTTTCGCGGTGACAGTAATTGTGATTTGGAAAATAGTCATGCTTGATTGACACTAATCAGGACATACTTTTTTGTAGTCACTATAAATACCAAAAGAAATTTGGGCTCTTTTTTGAAAAACATAACTAATGTTTTGGAAAGGTGTTTGTTGGAGAGGTGTGTTTTCAAGAGGAGTGTTGTGGAGAGGTGTGTTGTAGAGAGGTGTGCTTATTTATGAACCATCATAATAATGATAACTTGCAAAGATCTCAGAAAAAAGAAGATCCTAATTAAAGATCTTCTAATTAAAGCTTTGAATAAAGCTACGAATGCTGCAATGCTAAAACTCTATTTTTTGTATCCAAAATAGTTTTAAATAATTTATTTTAAATTAGTTCAGGACTCAAACTGTTTGTTTTCCTGAAATCATCTTTCAAATCTACTATTTACAATTTACAAAAACCCAATTAGTTAATTACTAATTTTTAACTAATTAACATTTTATTTTCTCCAGAGTTAGAACTTGGAAAGCTGTTTAAGTTTTTTTTACTGCATAATTTGATTTTTTTAAATATTTAAAAGATAATTTAACTATGGATAAAAAAAATAATTAAACAAAACATTTTACAGCATATTAAATTTAAAAATAAATGGCATTATGCTAATCAATTATAGAATCAAAGCATAAGCATTTGTTATAAAATTAAAGTTGCATTATATTAAGAATTCATAGTTGCAATATATTACAGTATCATTCAAAAATAATGTTACTCACTAAACATAACAAAACCCCGGAGTTGGCTGTGAACATGTAGACTTAGTGAACCTAAACTTTATTCTTTTTAAAGAATCTGCATAACCAACTTCTAAGGAAAATGTGTAGGCTTTTTTCTCAAGTAAAATGTTTCTGTTTATTACAAGACTGGGAAGTCGAAAACCTGTAGTTGTAGCATTGTGAACTTCTAGCTCAGGAGGAACTTTCCCAGTATTGTCATTAATGGTCCAAACTCCTATAAGTCTAAATATAAAAAGTGAAAAAAAGTAAAATAAATCTAAACAATTTTAGTTGGTGTAGAAGTTTGAGAAACAATAAGCTCATGTATGTTAAAAAAGAAAAAAGTAACTCGCCTTTGAAACCCGCAATCCTCACAATCAAAAGAATATATGACACGATCCATAAAATTCAGTTTTTCATCACAGTTGGATACACATCTAAGCATTTAACAAATTAAAACAAATAATGCAATTAAAAAACAAAAAGATTTAATTTTCATTCTTTAAAAAACTTTTTTATTTTAAATATTTTGTTTTTTTGCCATTTAATTTTTTTAGAGTGATTTTTTTATTCATATTTTTATTATCCAACTAATAACTGTCTGAAATTATATTCTTAAATATTACTGATAATATAAATTCTTCTATAATATATATATATATATATATATATATATATATATATATATATATATATATATATATATATATATATATATACATTTACATATATATATATATATACATATATATATGTATATATATATATGTATATATATATATATATATATATATATATATATATATATGTACATATATATATATATATATATATATATATATATATATATATATATATATATATATGTGTATATATATATATATATATATATATATATATATATATATATATATATTCTTATATAAATATAAATAAGTTATCATTTTGATCTTCTAGAGCAGTCAATAATAAGCACCTCTTCTCTGTTATTGCTTGAGGCTCAAATTAAACTCAGTTATTTCCAATCAATATCACAATTATAATATTCATTGATAAATGGCAACATACTTGTCCTCCTGTTTTACATCTCTGCTGATTATTTTACATCTCTGCGGATTATTCTTTACTACTAACCTTCTGGAAAATATGTATTAAATCCACTTCAAAATCAGTGTCTACTACTGTTATTTTCCAATATACATAATCTTATTCAAAAGATCAACACTATTAAGTTAAATCCTTTTAAAGGATTTAACTTAATAGTGCTATTTTCAAAGTTCAAGAGGTCGAACTCTTGATAAAGTTTAAGAGGTTGAACTCTTCATAAAGTTAGTGTTAATCTCCAAAACCCTTGCATCTCACAGCCAGCAATATGTTACATGTTAAAGAACAAGATCTTTTAATACCTTATTTTAAAGACAAAAAAAAATCTGTTTGCTTTTATATAAACAACCATATCGTTTGATTGTTTGTTTTTCCAAGTTGTTAAACATTTATTACAAGGTATGTCATTAAACAATTATTACAAAAATAACAATGTATTTGTAAAATTTCTAATTTATATATTTTTCTTAACTAATATATTTATTTACATTTGTGTATTATATTTTATGTGTTTATATGTGTTAAGGTTATATGGGTTTAAATTTTGTAAGGGTGTAAATATCTTTTACATATGAGTGTTTCTATGTTTGTGATATAATGGTATTTGTTTATAGTTTGTAAGTGGTTATTATGCTGTTTGCATGGTTTCAAACTATTGTAACTTAACTTGACTTTACAGCAAGAGCATTGACTTTGCTAGCCAAGTGGTTTACTTTGCTGTAATGTGACTTAGCTTTGTTGGGAGCAAGATTGCTGTCCATGCCAGTTAAGTGGTGTACTGTCATGATGAAATACATAAATTAAATCTGTTTGTAGTTAGTTTAGTATTAAAACTTTTTGTAAAAATATTGTTGAAAGAATGTGTTTATAAGAAGTGTTGAAAAGATAAATAGTTTTTTAATATCTATAATTTTTTAATATTTATAATTTTAAGTCAATTTTATTGAACAGATTAATACTTCATTAAATATTTTTTATACTGTTACTTTTTGAGTAAGTTTGTTTAAAAGATATATACTTTGTTCTTTTTTGTTAACAATTATTGCTTTTTATGATAAACTTTGTTAAAAAACTGGCTTACTTTTTACAAATAGCTCCTCCCCATTTAAACATTTAAGAGTTCTTATTTCCTTCATTAAATATGTTTAACTTGAGTTTATTGTTTGTTTTTTTATAAAGGTATGTGTACAAAGTATTACATAAGTTTTAGTAACTTTAATTACATTTTTAGGTTTTTTCCTATAGAGAATCTCTATAATAATATTTTAATATTTTATATATTATATAATTATATTAACCTAATATAATTATATATATATATATATATATATATATATATATATATATATATATATATATATATATATATATATATATATATATATATATATATATATATATATATATATATATATATATATATATATATATATATATATATATATATATATATATGTATGTATTATATAAATATATATAATTATACCTAATAATATTTTGTCAACAATTATTAATAACTACATTATATATAACATTACTCAGTTATAAAGATTACATTAATTTATTTATAACTTTAGTTTAAATAGAAATATGTTATCTTTACACATTGCTTTACACATTATAAAACATCTTATTTAAATATGACTAATAGTAGAGGTAGAGTATAATTAGATAACTATATTATGCTCTGTTTTATTTGCTTACACCTTATTTTAAATTAGTTAAGAAAAAAAAACTAAAAGTTTATTCTTGAAATAAAAGTGCAACTTTTATTATATTAAGCATCATTTTTACACACTTAATTATGCATGATAATTAAAAAAGTAAAATTACAAGGCTTCGTTGAAAATAAATAAACCAGGTTATGCAAAATGAATTTGACTGATGCCAAAATGAAAGAGATGAGCTTAGGATAGCTGTGGTAAGTTGTCATTGAAATGAAAGAGATGAGCCTAGGTGATCTGAAATAAACTACTGTAGGTGAGCTGAAACAGCAGTTCACCTACCTGAGCTAGGTAAACTGCCGTAGAAATAAAAGATATCAGGATAGATGTTATAATTCCTTTTTATCTTTTGCTTCCTTCACAGCCAAAATACGTTATCCCTTAAATAATTGCCCTTTCTGTTTAAGGGTTTATGGGCAAATTTTGCATTGTGCTAGAAATTTAAGGCCTGAAGAATGTTTTCTATCCACGTATTGTCAGTTAAATATATATGATCCTAATGTAGCAGTGTCATTCAGAATGGAGTAGCCTGGTAATGATGGTTGTATAAATGAGTTAATGCAATTCTTACAAACTTTAAATAATCAAGAAAACCCATTTGCTTCTACATTTAAAAATATAGCAGAAATAAAGGATAAAAAATGATGATGGCACATTTAACTGGAGCATCATGTTACTTTGTCCCATCATTATAATTACAGGTTTGCTGTTAGACAAACTTTTCCTAAATACAAACTAATTAGTCCTATATAATTAATATTTAATTTAATGCTGCTTACTCATTTGTGCTTGTAGAGTTTTTAAAGGTTTGTTGAGTTAAAGAAGAGTTTTTAAAGATTTTTTTTGAGTTTTTAAAGAAGATTTGTTACGCTTGACCATATCACTTTATATTTTTGACCACATAATAAGGTATTCTCAAACCTTTATTATATCTATTATAATCTGTAATATCTGTTGAATCAGTTATAAGATCTTTATATTAGATAATTTTATGCAATCATAAACTTTATATTAGATAATTTTATGCAATCATAAATTCTGTGTCATAAATGTATAAATGCCTGTAATATATAAAGTAATTCAATGTGTGTTATGTATAAGTAATTATGTCTTTTCCATGGCTTTAAAGTATTGTGACTTGGCTAGTGAGGTTACACCAAGAGTGTAGTATTATTATTGTATTTTTATATATATAGCTCTAGCTGCTTCTTCTAGCTTAATAAATGTTATTATACTCATACTTGACTTAGTTCATTAATTCCTTTTATTGTACAATACTATTTTATAATACTGTAGCCATTTTTAAAAATGTCTCACGGTAAAAAAAATCAAATTTGACTTTTATACAAAAAAAGCTAATTTAGATACTTACAAATGTTATTGAATAGATTTTTCAAAGAATTATGAAAAAATTCATAAAATTTTTTGATTTCAAAAAATGTTTTACAAAGAGGTTCCTCTAATAATTATTTTTTCTTAAAACATGTAATAAGCATCTTAACGTCGTACAAATATTTCTTTTAATTCAATCAATCAATGTCAAATTTTATTGTTTTACTTATATTTCAATCAATCAAAATAAATTTCAAAATAATCAATCAAAATCAATCAAAATAATCAATCAAAATAAATTTATATAATAATAATCAATCAAATAATAATCAATCAAAATAAATTTCAATCAATCAAAATAATCAAATCAAATTTTATTGTTTTACTTATATTTAATAGTTATACACACTTATACTTGACTTCTTGCATTGACTGATTGCTTTTATTGTAATTTTTTATTGTAAGTTGCAGCTTCTGCTACAACAAGAATGATGTTGTTCTCACTTATACTTGACTTTTTTAATATTAGATTTTTTTTTTAGTAGTGTCTTCCCTCTAAATATATATATATATATATATATATATATATATATATATATATATATATATATATATATATATATATATATATATATATATATATATATATATATATATATATATATATATATACATATATATATATAAAATAAGAAAATATTAAATACTTATATAAATTATTTAAAAAAGATTTTTAAATAATTTTATTGACAATATTCAATGACAATAAAAAGGTTTAGGGTCAAACATTGGATAAAGTTGCTATTAATCTCAAAAAGTCTTGATTTTCATGCAACCAATTCTATGTAGCATGTTCTAAAACCAAGTCATTTGCATTACACATGTATAACAAGTCATTTGCATAACACCTGCATAACATTTGCATATACACATGCATAAACAAGGTATTTCATTGAAAGAAAATTTCACAAATGTTGTATTTGTAAATGTTCTTAATATTTAGTTTTTAAAAAGTCTTTTTATGTGTCATATGATGTGTGTTTTTATTGTGTATTATATAAGGCTATATGGGTTTATATTCTGCTACTGTTTCTATGTGAGTGCTGTTAGTAGTTAAAATATTAACAATAAACTCAATAACCCTTAACTTAAAGTTATTTTAAAACTTCATTTGAGTATTTATTTATAGATTATATCTCTTTTTTGCCAATAATTCTAGCATTCTCCAACAAGCTAATTTCTTGGTCAAGGTTTGAGTAATTTAAAGTTTATTGTAATATGTTATGTTATTTGTTAACTTTGTGATGTTGTTGTGTTGTTTTGTGTTGATAGATTAGACATGGTTTACTTTCATGTCAGGGTCTTTAATTTAAAATGATGATTTGGTAGTTTCATTACTGAAACTGACTACATATAATCATTCACGAAAAGCTAAAGATTCAGTTTTCAAATAAAAACAAAGGTATATCTTCTTGTGATCATTTACTTTTAGCGTTGCTTTTTTTAAAAAAGTTGTTAATCCAAACTTGCAACAATAAATCTTGAAACTTTTACAAAAGATAAGCAAACTCACAAAGTAAGTTTAAGTTCCTACATAGCAGAATTTAAGAAATGTTCTGAATGTTGATTGTATCAAATTAAACTATTTTTATATGTATTTTTGTTACTTTTTTATGTTGAATATAAAATTTTTTTGTAGTTTTTTTTTTAAGTTAATTTTTTTATTTTATCTTAAGAAAAGTTTTTTATTTGTTCCTTAAATAAATTTCTATATTTCTTTTCTTTGGAATTATTGTTTTGAATGGATTTATTGGCTATTTTTGCTTTGTTTTTTATATTTTTGTTATCTTTTTATATGTAAACAGGAACCATTTATACTTTTATGACCTTTGTACAATCAAGACAATTTCCAAACTTGCTTTTTAAACAAATCCTTATGAAAGAGGTAAAATTTTATTATCATAATATTTATTCCTGAAGAAATGTTACACAGGTGTCTTATATGCTAAAGAATGCCACATCTAAAGGCTGCGTGAAGTGTGTACTGTTAGGAGGTAGCAGTACAAACTTGATGTTATTTTTGTTGCATTCTTCAATAATATGGACAGAGATGTGACTTGACAAATTGTCTCCTATCAAAACCTTCTTGGCATCACTGTCAAATTTTTTTTTTTTTAAAGTAGGGTAAAGCTAATCTCTGAAACCAAATTTTCAAAAATTTCCAGAGTGAACCACCCGCTCTTCGATCTATTATACACAGTGCCTGCTGGACCATTCTCTGTCCAAGAGTCATACAGATGGACTGCCTTATAAGTTATATAAGGAGGCAGTAGCATTCCACTTGCACTTCCAGAAAACATTACTGATGTGCTAGACTTAGAAGAATCTACTATATGCTCTGGATGCCTTGATCCCCTTCTCACGATCACTTGTTTTCTCCCTGGGTTGTCAGTCATGTTGGTTTCATCGTAGTTTACTATCATTGATGGATCAACATCCTTTAATGTCTTTTCTAGTTCATTAAAGTAGTTATTCACGATGTCCCTACTGATGACCGCTCGACTTCTTTTAATGTTTTGACCCAACCGTTTGGAAAGATCTTTACTGTTTCTTTTGAGAAAACTGTCAATAAAATCAACTCCAGGCATATTGTTTTTGAACCTAACTTCATTTCGGCCACACCGATCCAGGTAACCTTTAACTATTAGTCTTATGTCTAGTGCTGTAAGAGGGAATCCCCACTCTCCGGCCATGCTTATAGATTCAACTAATCTTCTTTCTTCTTCAGAATTAAGAACTGGAGGCCTACCACATTTGTTAACCTTACCTTTCAGGGCAGCAGTGAGAGCAAATCTTGATATAGCAAATTTCTCAGCAATTTTTCTTAAAGATGACCCTTTCTTCACTTCTTCTACAGCTATTTTCAGCGTTTCATCTGTGTAATCCTTATACTTCCGGCTACCAAGCTTCTTCTTTGGGTTTCGAGGCATTTTTAGTCCTAAAAAAGAGAAAAAATTTATTACTTAAGGAATTTTGACTTATTATAAAGTATAAGGTAACAAAAGCCACCTTTATGATGTGGCTTTAGTTACCCCATGTTGTGTATCACTGAAAAAAAACACATCACAACAAAAGAAAGAATCAAATTATAGGTTATAACCTTTAAAGGTGTGATGAAACATAAATTGAGGTTATGTTTGTTGAGAGTTATGAGAATTTAAGATTAAAAATGATTTGTTCAGAGCAGAAGTTATGCAAGGTAACTTTTTTATCGATTGTTTAGGTTAAATATATAATTTTACTGTACACTTACCATGATATTGTTTTAATAATCCAGACAAGTATTTGTAAAGCAGTCCAAGTTCCTATTAGAAGAACACAACATCAGCTGTTGAATCCAAACAGTGCTGCCACTATCACCATCCAAAAATTACCTGCTATAATGGCTTTAGTTTCTCCCATCTACGGTGTATATATATATATATATATATATATGTATATATATATATATATATATATGTATATATATATATATATATATATATATATATATATATATATATATATATATATATATATATATATATTATATATGTATATATATATATATATATATATATATATATATATATATATATATATATATATATATATATATATATACATATATATATATATATATATATATATATATATATATATATATATATATATATATATATATATATATATATATATATATATATATATATATATATATATATTACAATTCCAGTTACAGTGGAATGATTTAATTGCTTTGTTTTTTTTGTTTCTATTTTTACAAAGAATTGTTTAAAAGTTTTTTTTTTAATTTGACTTACTAATTAAAGCTTGAAATGATTAAAAAATATGATTTTAAAAAGACTAACTTTTTGAAACAATTTTTTTTTGCAACTTTATGAAAAAAATGTTTACACAACTTAAAATATAAATTTTTTTTCTTTTCAGTAACTCAATTTCACTTTTCAATAGTTTTAACAAAATTTGTTTTTTATTAAACAATCAATAGATGTAATTTGTAAAAGCATTTTGCCTGACTTTAATTAAATGTTTTAAAATAAGTTTTCAAGTAATTTTTTTCAAACTAAAAACTTAAAAAGTAATTTTAACTTTGAGTTAATTTAGTTTCACTTGAAAAGCAAATTTATTTTCTTTTTTGTTTTGCTTATTCTTTAAATTTTTCAATTTTTTTACTAAATTAAGTTTAGCTTAACATTTTTTTTTCCAGCATTTTTGAAATGTTTATCTTATCTAAACAGTCATGGTCAAGTTGTAAACAAAAAAAATTTAGTTGCCATCAGTCAAAATGGCCGCTTACTTTGTAAATTAATTGGACAATCTGAGGTTTTAGCCACGCAATGTCTGATGTCTGATTGTTAAATTGAGCCCTGAAAGATTATATTTATTACAAGAGCCTAAAAGCAATTGATATTTTGAAAGTGTTTTAAAGTATTGCGTTGTAATTTAATTTAATTTTAAACCTCGCTAAACATTATAAATTCAAAGCAAGTTGGTTCTGGAAGACTCCCCATTCTTAATGCTGATGAGAAACGCTTAATTCTTCGCATACTGTGCTATTTAGCTGATAGTGGATTTTTATGGGATCATTCTGACTTGATATCAATGGTCAAGTGTTTCATTCAAGAAACAAGAATACTTAATCCTTTCAAAGACAACTACCCTGGTGAAGACTGGATTACTGGGTTTGAAAAGAGATGCAAAGGGAAACTTTCAAAAAGAAAGCTTGAACTGTTAACCAAAGCAAGGGCAGAAGGATTGACAGAAAGTGTTGTCAATCCCTTTTTTCAAATGTATGAAAATGTATTAGTTAAAAATGATCTTCTTGACAAACGACACATGTTGTTTAATCTTGATGAAGCTGGTTTAGGGACAAACCCTATTGCTTCTAAAGTGTTTGTGCCAGTTTCATCACGTACTGCTTATCTGAAATCAGCATGTGGAGGGAAAGCAAGTTACAGTGTTCTTTTCTGTGTGTCTGCCTCAGGATGGTATCTGACTCAATTTATTGTGTACAAAGGGTTACATCTGTATAAGTCATGGACGCAAGTTGGATCTCCAGGTACTTCTTATGCAACAATAAAGTCAGGATAGATGGAAGATGGAGTTTTTGAATCAGGGTTTAAACATTTCATTAAAAGCATTATAGATTTTGAGAAACCTGTGCTGCTCATTTATGATGGCCATGGCAGTCATATAACATATGGATGAGTAAAGTTTGCTTTATCTCATGATGCGGTAGTCAAGACACTCCAATTGTAAAACTCAAATGGAAAGTTAGCTCATCATTATCCTCAGACTGGATTTTTAATTATTTTAATAATTAAAAAATTTACAGATTAAAAAAATTTTAAAACTTTTGTATGTCAAATTCAAAAATGTTTTTTGCATTAACTTAAGCACTAATTTTTGTGATATAAAATCAAAATTTATACACATCAAAACAATTTAAAACTATTGTTTAATAATTTATAAATGTTCAAATAACTATGATTATTTGAACATTTATAAATTATTAAACAAAATTTTGTTTAATTAATTTGCTATTACATAAGCTGATACTTTGAAAATAATTATAAACTAACACAAATTTTACTGTTTCAATGTACAAATTTGTATAGAACAAAACACACAGTTTAGTATTCTGTAGTAAGTAATTTAGTATTCTGTAGTACAAATTGTTATAACACTAATAATTTGCTGAAGCTTAAAATTTCATATAAACTAAACTGTTGAAATTAATATCTTTTACATTTCTGTAGCACAATGCTGTATAAAAAATATTATTATCAAAATTTTAGGGTAAAATTAAAGTTAAATAAGTTGAATCAAGTATCATTGTCTGCATCTTTAAAAATATAGAAAATGTTATAAAACATACTTAACAGAAATAGTTGGTAAACCTTGAGAGATGATTAAAACTTCTTGAATGAAACAGCTACTTTTGAATATAATGTTTGAGTAAATATCTTTTCCTGCATACTTTGTTCCACAAACTTCAAAATGATAACTCAAACCTTCTAAAAATTGTTGTGTACTGAAATTCATGCTAGTTTTAGAAGAAATATCCATCCATGTTTGACTAAAACATGTATCACTTTTGTATGTCAAATTCAAAAGTGTAAAATTTCCCATGACTTCCAAAGCATTAGCAAAATTCGATGCAATTTTACATCTCCACATAAAAGTGATATCTTGAATTCCAATCATTGGATCATCAGGGTCATAACAAGAACTTACACTTATTGTAAAGTTTTGATGAAAACTATCATTTCCTATTTTTTTCTTGTATGCAACAGAGTTAAAAAATCCTTTCTCAATATTTATATACAAAGGTAAATACGTAATGTTAAAGTATGCAGTATAAATACTACTATAAATCCCATAATTATAAACCAATGACAAATTGTAAAGACCAAAGTCAAATAAATTTTTTCCAACTGTGTAAATAATTTTTTGCTGGACTTGAATACCATTCGTTACTTTAGGTTTTGAAACTAAATTGGTTAGATGCCACTGAATAGTAAAACTATCATTTTTACATAAAGGATCAATAGTTGCTACAACACCAGTTAAATCTGCTCCAACACTTCTAAAAATAGTCACTGGACTTGAATATGTTCCATAATAAAAACTAATTGGTGGCACAGTACATTTTTTTACCATCACATTAATTATTCTGCTTGTATCATACAATAAATTCTTAGATATTATAGAAACACTATATACATTCTCCATCATATAAATATGCTGCACTTGGAATGAAACAGGATTTGAATTCATAGTCTGATTATTGTAGGCGATATTGCTACCATCACCCCAATCAATTGAGTATAGCAAAAATGATCCTGTATTTTGATATATATTAAGTATTAAATAATTATTGATGGATAACAAAACATATCCATTTTGTGAAATAATGGGTGTAGTTATTACATTTAAAACTGATGGTGGACAAAATACTGATACATTAGTGGTGCTAGACAATGTCTTGCCAATGATATCTCTTATTAAAATATTGTTTGATGCAGAAGCAAAAATTGTAAAATTGGTGCACACATTATATCTAAAAACAAAAAAATATGACATATTAGATATTATTCTCTGAACTTCCTAACTTCACTCTTTCCCAGAAGGAGAAACTGGAAGACATAATATATAGCTATCTATGTATGCATGCTAAAAAATAGTTATGATTAATTGTAATAAGGCTGTAAGGAAAAGAAAAAAATGTTGTACAAAATGCTTTAAGAAAAAAATGTATTCTTTTTTTTAATCTTATAATATCCAGGGCAGTTGTTGAATGAAATACCAAAATTATTAGGCTATTAAGTGTTTAGTTTTTCATTTATTTCATTATTACAAAAAAAGTAATTTAATTTATGTATTCAATAACTAGATAATATAATCAGTAAGCAATATATATATATATATATATATATATATATATATATATATATATATATATATATATATATATATATATATATATATATATATATATATATATATATACATATACATAATACAAAAAAAAATTGTAAATTGATTCATGTTGATGTAATCCTGCAGTAAAGCAACCTAAACTAAATTTATTTTTGCGCTCTTGCTCGTAGAGAATTTTGAACTTTTTTTTATATTAAAAAAAATTAATACATTTAAAAAACTTTTAAAGTAATTTAGCATTAATTTTGCTTAATACAATATTTTAAAATTTTTCAAAAAAAATTAAATTTTAAATATGGCTTTTGTTTTGATGTAAAAGCCATTTTAAAAAACAAGTTTTGTGGAAGTTTTAAAATTAAGTTTTCAAACTTTGCGATAGGTTTTATTAAATTTAAGATTTGTTGTTGTTAATGCAAATATCAGTTATATTTTTTATACAAATTTTGAAGATAATTTAGCTATATATATATATATATATATATATATATATATATATATATATATATATATATATATATATATATATATGTGTTTGCCAGCACACTGTTTGCTTCTGCTACAGCCACTTGTATGAGAGCCTTTTGCTAAACTAAATATGTCTGGCGTGAAATTCTCGCTAATGTTATTGTGACAATAACATCCTTCAAAACATCACTTTAAACACCAATGGTAATGATCAAAACAATACTTGTGAAAATACTTTTATTGAGAAGTCAAAAAACATACATATAATACTATAATATTAGTAGACAAAGACTTAAACAATGAAAAAATAAATTAACTATCAATATTAGATGTAGATGTATCAGATGTATTTTAATGGAAATAAAACTATAAGAGAAATAGTGAAAGAATAGTTAATGGCCACAAAGGGTGATGTTTGTTCATACAACAAGCGACCTACTAAAAAAATAAAAAGACGCTATGGTGGTTAGTGTTTAAAAGATTAAATAATGAAGAAAATGAAGGCTTTAAAAGAAAGATCAAGCAGCAACCCAAAATAATACAAAATAAAAAAAATAATTTATCAAAAATAACAAAGACAGAAGAGTTAAAGATGAAGTAGTTCACCATAAAGATGAAGTAATTCACTTTAAATATCACTTTACCCCCAATGTGGGGGTAAAGTGAACTAGTGAACATGTTTTGCTTGAATATATATTTAGTATTGTAATAATAATTTTTAATATAATTATGCTGTACCTAATACTTTATATAGTATAAATTTTGAAAACTGCCAGATGTTAGGCTTTTTAAAAAAATAATTCTTTTAAACTTTGAAAACAGTTAACTTTACCCCAGTTTACCCTATATATATTATTATTGTAAATACATTTTTTATTATTGATAATTATTTTTAATTTTTTACTAAAATGCAATTTAAATTCTCCACCGTTTTTTGAAAGCAAAAAAAAAATTTTAAGGCTGCTTAACTGCAAGATTAAGGATATTAAAATGTAAAATTAAGGATACTAAAGTAACTTTCTAAAACTTTTATTTCATTACTTAATCATATTGATAAAATTTACAAAATTTATGGTAAATTTACAGAAAAAAAGAAAGAAAATAAAATTAAAAAAAAGGAGACTATATTATATGGTGGTTCATTAAAATTTTTTTGTGAAGCACAAAAAAATAAAATTTGAAAAAAAAAATTGAATCAAACTACATCTAGACCCTGCTCCTCGATCACAAAGTTTTTACTATAGCGATGTAACATAAAAGTTGTTTGCTACATATCACCAATGCGCCACAATAAATAATTCTGTTTTTTTTTCAGAAGCTATAATGCTGCCTCTAGTGGAAAGAGCCTTTCTTCACAGCCATACCAACTTGAGACATTTTTAATTGCTGCTTTAAGATTGTGATAACATTTATTGCTTCTGTGATACAAAAATTGTATACAGGTGCATACATTACTTTTAAAGAATATAAAAGGCAAATCACAGCATATGTGGTGACCAAAACCTTGTTTTACATTGATAGCTAAATGCTGAATTATGCTTAGGTACAAATATTTACACACTCAAACCTGTGTTGATGCAAAAGTAAAAGAAAGTATAAAGTTTTATAATGTGTTTACCTAATGATTTTGTTTAAACTAACAGATATGGTTTTACTGATTAAAAAATGTATGAAAGTCATATTTTTGAGTCACATAAGGGGACTTCCATGAAGTATGTACGCAGTTATGGGGGGAGAAAGGGTTACATAAAAAAAAAATGAATGCAAACAAAAAAGAGGAGGAGGAGGGGGATGGGGGAGTGAAGACATCAAACACACCGATTTCATTCTCCTGTTTTTTATATCTTAAAATTTTACTTTTTTTCCCCCTGATTTTAGAAAATTAATAATATGTCATTTAGCAGAGACAATGAATCGATTAAAAGCTTTTTTGTTTTTTATGTTTTGAAAAATTTATGATTTAGGAAAAAAAGGAGGGGTTGCTTTTGTAATAAATAATGAATACATATGCAGAGGAGGGGGGTTGTAAGAAGGATACAAGTACAATTAAGGGGGGAGGAGAATCCTATACCAATGATTTTATAGCATATTTTATGGATCCCATATAAGTTATTTTTATAGCTAATAAGTCAAACAAGTTGAGTATAGTAATCGTACAAAAATGTATGAGATTAGTAAAGAACTAATCTCATACAAGGCAGGTGCACCACTGCCACATGTAAACTGAAAGTTAACAAATCCATTATTTTAAAGTATATTTTTAGAAATACCTTTATTTTAAAAAATAAAATTAATTTTTGAGCAGTATTTCTCTAGTATTATTTTTCAACATTGTGAATAGGCAATTGCTTGAACTATTAGATAGTGTACTGAATATTATCTGTGCTTGAGTCAAGTTCTTTAACAAATTTAAAAATTACTAAAATACCAAAAACTATAAAACCATTGTCATCTCCAAGTTCTTTAAATCTATCATTCACTAATATTCATGGTCTTCAAAAGTAATTTTTCTTCTGTTGAGCCTTGTTTCTTGCAAAGTTCATCAGACCTAGTTTCTCTTGGTGAGACTAATTTGAGTTCAGCTGCCTTATCTTGTGATTTAAGTGTTGATGGTTATCTTTCTTTAATTCATAATGACTTTAAAAGGGCATGGTTGGCCTGAGCGCTTACATTTGTAGGAAAACATCTATTTGCACGAAAACTAGGTTTGAATCCACTGACTACATTTTTTGTGTTTTTTTTAGCACCGCTTCATTTTATTGCTTTTTCTTTGTTCTGTATATCTCTCCTTCATCTCAAGACTGCATTCTTTCTGATCAAATTGACGAAGCCTTTTCTTATTCAGCCAATATACTTGTTGTTGGTGACTATAATACTCATCACATAAAATGGTTTTGGTCTAGTTTCAGTGACTCTGCAGGCCTAAAACTTTTGCCTTTCATAATAAATCAAACTGTTATTGCCAAACACAATTAATCAACTATCCAATTCAATATCCAGACAATCCGAATCATTTACCTTCTCTACTCAACTTATGTCTTGTTTCTAAAATTAGTCTTTTTACTATCATAAACAAGATCTTTAATTAACAAATACTTAATTTTTATCTGGAATCTAATAACTTCTTTTCTGAACATCAATATGAAATTTGGTCTTCTAGTTCTACTGCTGATTTATTAATGATAAAAGTAGATTAGTTTTATGGTGGGTTAGATAAATGTGGAGAGATTAAGGTTATAGCTCTCAACATTTCTAAAACCTTTGATAAGGTAACATCTTTAAGATTATTGAATCCTTGCTTACCAATTGCTGATAATACTACCATTTATTCTTTTATTGATAAGCCAACACTCTATGATTGCTCGGAAGGGGAGCTTGAAAAAGATCTCACTTCTGCTACAGCGTGAGACTCTTATTGGCTGGTGAACTTGGACTCTTATTGGCTGGTACTATGGTAACTTGGACTCAGATAGAGCTCATTTTTTTCAGCTAATGTTATCACAATAATCTAGATCTTCCTACTTTTATAAAACGTATTGTAAACATAGTTGGACCTGCTCTTGCAGCAAACCTTTAACCATTATCACATTGTCATAATGTTGCTTCTCTTTCTCTTTTCTATAAATACTATAATGGGCACTAAAAAAAAGCTAGCATTCTTGTGTCTTCTATTAAAATTCATTCTTGTGTTACTTTTCATAAAATAAAGTCTCATCCTTTTACTGTGACTGTTCCTAAGTGCTACAAAAATTCTTGTTTGTCTAGTTTTTTCCTCAAACATCAGTTCTTTAGAATTTGCTCCCTTTATCTTGTTTTCCCTTTATCTTGTTATACTATCAAACCCCGCCCCATCCTTAGTCAAATATCAATCCCAGTTGCTTACTAATGCAATACACACATTTTTTAAAACTGGTATAGAAGTTGTGATTTCTTTAACGATGTCTTCATGATATATATTACTCTACTTAACAAAACAAACTACAACTGCTTCATTAACAACAGCAACAGCATTATCACAAATGGTTACCTAAAACTAAATTAAAAGTAAATTTCTGGCTTTAATGTGTGTTGTATTTTTTTAAGATCTGATAACATATATGCGATAGATATCCAAAAATGATAATTGATACTTTTACAAAAATAGATGAACAAAATTGATACTTTTACAAAATTAACAATTGTTAACTTATAATAAAATATGTTACTCCACTTCTCTTGTATGGTTCAGATTTTTTCACCTCATCAAAAAATAAAGCTAAATTGTTTGCTAAGAATCTTTCATTGATATCATCACTTGATTCCACTTGTTGCATTCTACCTGATATAGCCAACAAACAGATTGATCTATTACTTGACATTTGTATCAACCCAGCTTCTGTATATAAAGTAATTTCCTGCTTAGACTCTTCTACAGCTTGTGGTCTGGACAACATACCTGTTATAGTCTTACAGAAGTGTTCTCTGGAGCTGCAATCTATACTTTCAAAAATATTGATAACCATTAACAGATAAAATTCTACTTGATTCAGAAAAGACAAAATTTGGCATGCAGTGCTTTGAATCTCCATTTTCATACCAACTTTTACCAGTTCAACGAAACCTTGTTTTTTCTTACATGAAAATGTTGAAAACAAAGCTATTACAATTCCTACTCTTACTTTACCTAATAACTTTTTATAAATGCCTAATATACAGCTTTATTCATTAAAATAAACTAAGTTTATGAAAAAATATTTGTTTGACAAGACAAAAGTATTACAAAAAAAAATCCACAATGGCTTGACAAGAGCAAATTCATCAAATTTCATCATCAATTGCACATATCATAATAGGAAAAAAAAATTTGAATTTTCTGTAAAACAATTTAAAGAAAATAAAAAATTCATAAACTTTATAGACATGCTAAATCATGGTAAAATTAATGAATATGTTGCAAAAGAAAAATTTTAAAATGTAATGATTTATAAATTAAACAAAAATAATTTAACAGTTAAAAATAATTTTATAGTTTACCACAGATCTCTTGGTATGGCGCAAGTTCAGATGGACTTGTATGATGCATTTGAAAGCCTGTTTAATAGAAATTAAGTTTCTTTTTACAAAAAGAAATGCAAATCCTAAAGTTTGGTTAATGAGGAAGCGTTTATATTGGTTCATCTGAACTGACTCAATGTTTGTTTACATTTATAAAGGAAGTATTATTATAAACCTTAATTTTGATAAATGTTCTTTTTTTGGCGTTATTGATAAGTTGGAGTATTTTTATAAAAAATTTTGTCATGCTATGTATCTCAATAAGAAATATTACATTTCATGTATTTTTACTGTTTTATAAGAAGATCCATAAAGTTAAAAAATAAGAAGCTTGCATCCCAAATTATGAATAATGGATCCATATAAAACTAGGGGTATTTCTTTCATATTTGCTTATTTTTTTAAATTTTTTGTATAGCACAAGTTATATGAATTTGTAAACCTGTTATCATCTCTAATTTTTTCATGTAATAATTGATCTCTTCCATTTAAAAAGGCTGGAATGTTTAGCAATATACCAAAAAGCTTAAACAGCCATTTAAAATTGCATAATTAGTTCAATTTAGGAAATAAAACCAACAAATAGTTCACTAACAAGCGTTATTGCACCAGAAGGAGCAATAATTTTTTAAAGGTAACATGGTGCTTACGAAATAACAAACTACTTTAAACTGTAAGGCTAGATGGTCTTTCACAAATCGATTCAGTACAGTCAATAATAACTTTCTTTTTGAGAAAGAATCTCCAAAGCATTTCAGCATGTTAAGTTTTAGTTGATCTAAATTAGGCCAAATTTCTATAGCACCAAGTTAAAGGTACATAAAATTTGACTATGTTATAAAATATATTGAGAAAGTAGATTCTTTTATTAATAAAAGAATCTACTTTTACTTTTTATTGATAAAAAATGCATGATTTTGATATAATAAAAATTTAATGTAAAGCTCTATATTATTACTATTAGCTGTCATGGATATTAGGAAATTTTTAAAGCCTGGCAAATAGTAGTTGCTACCTAATATTGGAAACAGTTTCCCAAGTTTCTTGTCTATATATCATATATCAAATATTTGTTACTTTAAACCTCATAACTTTTATATAGGTTTATGCAATTTTAATAATTTTGCCACCATAAAAAACTTCATAAAAAAATTAGAATGTTTATATCATTGTAATGGTCATAAAGACCATTACAATGGTATAAACATTCTAATTTTTAATTAGTTTAAAAAATTTATGTTTATATCTATATTATATACAATATTTAAAAAACTTTTATGATTTTGTCCCTGTTCACACGATGGTACACAAAAATACAGTTAATATAACCATAGTCTATGATACTGCAAAAATAATTTGGAAAACTTTTAATTAAAATTATTTAAAACTCAATCAAATAAAATAAATATCTTGAGTAAATTAAATATTTACGTATGATTGACAACCAATGTGAATCCATTAGCACCAGTGGCATCAATGTTAGATAAAGAATAAACGGTTCCATCACCAAAATCAATTGTCAATTTTAAATTATTTCCATTAAGTATGGTAATAGTCGCATAAAAAGTAACATCCTTTCGCAAAATTTTTTTTTCAACAAATAAATTTAAACTTTTAATTTGAGACAAAACTGCAATATTAATTGAAGTACTCAGTGAGCTTATTTTATTTGCTGCTGTCAAAAATACGGTGAAAATACCTAAAAACAACAATTAGTAAAATTTAGTAAAATTAAAATTTCAATGTCACTAAAAAGTTGATATAAAAAATATATATATTAACTTTTACATATTATATATTATATATAATATATATATATATATATATATATATATATATATATATATATATATATATATATATATATATATATATATATATATATAATATATAAATATATAAATATATATATATATATATATATATATATATATATATATATATATATATAAATATATATATATATATGTATATATATATAAATAATATAAACATATATATATATATATATATATATATATATATATATACATATATATATATATATATATATATATATATATATATATATATATATATATATATATATATATATATGTATATATATATATATATATATATATATATATATATATATGTATATATATATATATACATATATATATATATATATATATATATATATATATATATATATATATATATATATATATATATATATATATATATATACTTATGTATATATACATATATTGAGCTATAAAATGATAATATATATAAATGTATAGTATATATATAAATATATAATATATATAAATGTATAATATATATATATATATATATATATATATATATATATATATATATATATATATATATATATATATATATATATATATATATATATATATATATATATATATATATATAAAAGAAAGTTCGTAGAACTCCCCAATTAAAAAAAAAAAAGTTTTATTTTATTTTATTTTATTAAATATTCAAAAAAATGTCCATCATTATCTATACCAAGTTGCATCTTTTCAAGCCATTTTTTAAACATTTTTTTATACTCTTCTTTGGGTATACTTACAAGTAGCTTCATTGAGCGAACTTTTTGGCTTTCAACGTCTGTATTATCATCAAGATTTTTTTCAAGTCGAATAGTCAATAATTGGATAGAGCTAAGTCTGGTGGGTGGCAAATTATTGTAATTACAGCTTGGTTTAGACAATTTGTGGTGGTTTGGGTTACATGGGGTTGAGCATAATCATGGAGAAATTTGAAATTGTGAGTACCTGTTTTAAGTCTTTGCTTATTTATTTCGCATATTAGAGGTTTCAAATAAATTTTTTATACAATATTCGCTAGGGTCTCCCTTTTCAACATAACCCAAAAGAACAACACCTGTTGTTTTGAAGAAGATGTAGAACATGCTTTTTGACTGAAACCTTACTATAGTTCTTGGACTTTCATCTTCACCGATCCAACTAGCGTTAGCTGACTTGTGTCTATACTATATTTTGGAGCTTAACCATCATTAACTAAAACCAATTCATTCAAAGAAATGCAACTATATTACAATGGGAAGGAGGTTCAAGATTAGCAGATAGAGCGGATCCAACTATGTATCAACCCTTAGTAAATAAACAAAATGTTTAACAAAGTCCTAAAGAAAAATTAGAATGATTAATTTTCCTTTAGTATTTAAATCTTAAATAATTCTTTTGTTTGAATATTTAAGTATCATATCTTTTTTTAGTAATATTATCGGGTGAACACGGAAAAATCGGGTCAACTTTAAATTGAGATTTCTTTAAAACCATAAATGCTTTTTATTTAATTTTTTTACTTTTAAATGTCAATTAGAGTTTCAACTTAATTTTAAGGGACTTGATTGGCTGTTTGGCAAGAGATCGAATTTTATAGTAGGTTGATGCCATCATTTCGCAGATTTTTTCTTTTTTCATCTTACATTAAGGTGGCATTAACTTACTTTTTTTGGAAGTCCTTTTTATTTTTTTTTTACTTCACCTGTCTAACAAAGAACTCTTTTAACTATTGTCCGAAAATCTTCAATCTTGCGCTCTTCAGAACGATTTGGAGGATTTGCATCTTTAGGGACATTTTTCACATTATTATCTTTGTACCACTTTTTTAAAATAGTGAAAAGCAGCAGCAACCTGGTTAAAAGAGATATTGGTGTTTGTGTTTTTTCATAAATAGTAAAAGTGTTTTTTGGAGACATTCTTTGATGTAGAGATTGGCATTCAAGGTCTTCTTAGTGACAAAACAAGAGGACTGCATACTACAGTATTAAACTGCTTGCCACACAAGGAGCTTGGATGCAAGTTTTTCTCTTTGAATATATTTAAATTGATCATTAACAGGTTTATCTTTGTTCTTATGGTAAAATTGTTGACCAGGAAGTTGTGAAAAATACGCCTTGCAATATGTTTCATTGTCTTCAATTATGCACATACTTTTATCTTTAACCAATATCTTTGCACATTGAATTCCTTTAAATTACCATTTAAGCTTCTCTAAGGTGTATTTTTCTTATAAAATGTATTAATTCCAGAATTTAAAAAAAAAATTTTTGATATAAGAACGTGAAATCTTGAATTATCTCATTGTGACTGGTTTGGATTTTTTGCTATTAAACGTAAAATCATTTTAACCGTTTTGGATTTATGGAAAGTTTTCTTTCTTCCACTTTCAGGTTTTCTTTTGAAGCTTTGAGTAGTCTTGAACTTATTTATAATATCTTGATGATTGCAGATATTGGGACAGATTTGTACATTTAGCAATCAAGCAATAAGAAGTCAATGACTTTTTACAAAAAAAGTTCATAACTTTTTTACGCATATCAAGTTATTTCCAAAACATTTTGCAAATCATAGATTTGTAAACAAAAGTTTATTAACACAATTAAAGATAAGTAAGTAACGTTTAATTAAAAAAATAAAAGAAATAAAAAACATTTGTGGTTTTAGAGAAATCTCAATATAAAGTGGACTGGATTTTTCCGTATCCACCCGATATATTTTTAGAACAAAACGGGTTTGTCTTACATTTTTATTTTAACACCTTTGTGAACTGATTACTCTCTGGGTATTGCTTGTCATATTGTGGTTAGGTACTACTAAATGCTTTCCTTTCAATAACCATTCTATCTCATGCAGTATTTTACTATATCTGTAAATAGCGATGGCTTAAAACCCTCCATATCAGTTTTTTATCTTTTGTATTATTTATATAATTCCAAAATATCAAGTTAATGATGCCTAATACACTTGCTTTATTAAAAAACAAAAAAATCATTCGCTTTTGACACTTTTAAAACATTATTCATAATGAAAAAACATGCAAATAAAACAATTTAATTTCCATAGAATAAACTTTATTTCATTGCATATAATAGGTAATTGCTTTTAATAGTAATTTTCAATAATAATTTATGTTAATAACAACTCTTTTAACAAAATGCATTTAACTGCTAATCTGGAAATTTACATAGCAAATCTGGAACAAACAAAAAAAAACTTCTGAAAAAAAAAGTGACATTCAGATGCAAGATTTAGTAAACTGAGAGTAATGGAGAATTACATCAGACAACCTTTTTACATTGGTTTCTTGCAATAATAAATAGCCATTTGTTCTCAAGAGAGTTTTTTATTTTTGAAAAAAATTATGATTAGATATAGCAGCTGCACAAGCTGCTATATCTAATCATAATAATAATAAATATAATATTATAATTGTTTTTTATAAATATGTATCTATTCATAATCATTTTAATTTTCTAATAACAAGTCTTATTCTACTCCATGGTGAAAACCATGGAGTAGAGTAAGACTTGACTTAAAACTTACAAGAAGGAATAAAAGCTCCTGAATACAAGAGGTTAGATAGGAGGCACATTTTTCAGCTGAGAGGGAAAAGACATCAGCCTAAAGACAGTCATGAAGGAAATCAATAAGAAAAATCAAATCATCTTTAGGGTTAAATAGTGTGTTTAGGGTACTAATAAGTAGTGTGATAATAGGTAAAGTCCAAGAAAGAAGTATGACATGATTTATTTAGTGATCATTGCATGGTCAGAAACACCTAAGGAAGAAAAAGGAGAAAGTAAACACAAGATAGTATCAAAGAAAAGACATAAATCAAGGAGTAAATGATTAAGGTTTTCAGAAAAACGACTCACAAAGTCTATCTTGGTAAGAGATTGAGAAATGCAGAAGTTACAAGCTTTAGGGACAGCAAGTTCAGTGACATTAGAATTAAGTCATTCAGTGCAATGAGCATTAAAGTTATTAAAGTCATTAAAGTCATGTTGTCAGAAGGATAAAGAGAGAGGGTATGGTCAATTTGATCAGAAATTACATCTAAAAGAGTGCAGTCTTGGGAAGGAGAACATTAAAAAACAAAGAGAAAAGTGAATAAAGAGGTGTTAAGCAGAAGCACATAAAAGAATGGTCAAACGTGGATTCAAACATGATTTCAAGACAAATTGCATACCCCCGAGTCAAGCATGTGACTATTTAAGTCTTTGCTAATCAAAGAATAGTTCCCATCAACACTAAGATCTGAAGAAAAGGGATAGGTAAGATTAAACTGATGTCTCTTAGAGTAAGCAGGGCCTATTAAAGGAAAAAAACTCAGGCGGCGGTACCCCCTTGTCTCAGCGGACTTTAGCGCTAAATCACCTTTTTTTTCCGCTGATTTACCGCTAAAAAAAAGGTTCTTAAATTTTAATTTGGGCGGCACCCAAATTGGTACCCAAATACGATTGTCACTGTCGAAAACGGTCTAGAATAGCCCCTGGGAAGCATGTTTGATAAATTTTGAAAGAGGTAAGATTCATCTGATGGAAGGTTGGTTTACAGACCATGAATATTTGTAAAAATTATATTAAAAGAGTTAGGTGGTGATTATGGCTTTTTTTGTTAATATTTTGGGTTAATTTTGAGATGAATTAAGTTTAAAGAGTACTTGATTCATAAATAGATAGATAGAGCACAGCCTCCTAAGCAATAAGCAATGCAATTGTCTCAGTCCTGTTAATTAACTGTAAGTCATAACATAAGGCTCCTTACGTGGCCTTGACAATGAGCTTCAAAAGCATTAACAGCGACAATATTCATGCAAAACATGGCACTGTTAATACTGTGATATTTTGCAGCTGTTGATGGAATCAGC